TATCTTATTATTGAGACCTTGTATATTATGCGTGGCTAAGTTGATATTATTTAGATATTGAATATTATTATTGTTGTTGTTGTAGTTATTACGTATATCACTTGTATTATTGTCTATAAGTAATTAATTAAAAATGTCCTAGGTTAGTTCTAGAAGAGGTGGTAAGTTGAGTAAGTATTCTGGGATATGAGATATAGTAAAGTATTCTCTAAGAGTAGTTAGAGTTGGTGTAATATCTTCTTGTTGTGTGATTAATAGTGTGACATAGATCTCTTCTTTGTTTTTTTCTAGTTGATCCTGTAGTTTAGTTAGAGTATTAGAAATAGATAGTTTATCTTTGTTTGTTGTTGTTTCATTTTTAAGTATTTGTGTATTTGAAAGTGGTCCTAATTCAATCTATTCAGATAGGAGTTTAGTGAAATAGTAATCTTGTCTGAGTAATTTGACTATGTTTAGAAGTTGTTTGAATGAGATGATTGGTATAGTTAGGTTGTATTCTGAAATAAATTGTGGTTCTTCAGGTAATCTTAGTTTGTCTGTTAGGTTAGTAGTTATAATATTCTTATTAATTGGAAATCTGACTCTGTATTTGCTATTGGTTTCTTGTAAGAATTCTTTTGCTTGTATATCATCAGTAATCAGATACATATATGTAGAGGTTAGTTTAATATGTGATAGATCTTTAGGTAGCCATAGTTTCTGTTTAAAGAAGTTATTTGGGATAGTTTTGAATATGTAAAATTCTTGAAGTATTGTACGTATTTCTTATATAGAGTATTCATTATTATGTAGCTCTAGTGGGAACAGATATTTGACTTTACTATTGAATTCATGGTAAGTAGTAGGTAAAGGTTCTCTTAGTAGTGGTAATTTGAAATAACTGCTAGGTAATCTTTCAAAGCTGTAATAATCTGTAAGTTTGTTTCAATAGAAGCTTAAAAATTTTAGTTGTTTACAGTCTATAATAAGAAAGAGATTTTTAATTTCTGGAGGAAGATCTTGTGGTTTTTCTGATAATTCTGGTAGTGTAGTAAAGTATGTCATAGAGAGAATTGTAAATATGAATACTTGGCATAGGGTATTGACAATTCTTTTTGTTTGTGATCTTTTTTAAATAGGTAATGCAAATAGTAACATATTAGATATTTCTCTAGAAATCTCTTGTGGTGTGTCTGGTAGTGGTATGATCAGAGAGTTCATGCTTCTTGTATTGCTTTTAATATTGCCTTTAGGTTCTCGATTTGGTCTGCTTTGATAAAGTTTTTGCAATATTTAACTAATAAGTTATTTGGTAGTTATCCATTTCTCTGAAGTCCAAACTGGTGATATAGTCAATGAAAAGTTTTTGTCAAAGTTTGTGTTATATAATATTCTGTATTTCTTTGGTTATAATAGTGATTTTGTTCTGAGTTTTGTATTTGTTTAATGCTTCTTGCATAAGTTTGTTGAATTCGATTTGGTGTGCTAGCATAATTCATTTGTTACTAGTAAAAGTAGTAAAGAAAGTCTTGTTTAGGTACTTGAACTTAAGAAGTATTGCACTAGGAATTTCGTATTGTAGGGGTCTAGTAAAAAATTTTTATAAAGTGAATTCAGTAATTCCTGTTGTATCATTTAGTGCAGTAATAATTTTGTTTCTAGGCCAGGTATTATTCAAAGTCAGTTTTTAGATTCTTCTTTTGAGCTTCTTTGATATGGTCGAGCTAATTAATTTCTTTTGTTTGTCTATTTAAAAAGTCTTCTGTTATCATATCTGTAAAAGAATCATTATATTTAGTTTCATTGTTGAGATTTAGTGAAGTATTTGGCTATAAGATAGTTTTGTGACTAGCTAGGATGTTGAAGCAATTTCTTTGGTAGTTGAACTAGATATAGTGTTGGACTTAGGAGGTTTGTTGTTGTTTGTAGTTAGAGTATTGTTAGATGCATAAGTTGAGTTACTACTTTTGGTATAGTTGGTATAACATTCATGAGAAGATTCTTGTGATTGATTGTTGTTGTTATTTTGAGTAGGTTGTTGTATAACATGTGATGTTATAGTTGGAATTGTAGGGGGTAAACTGGATAGCCCACTTTTTCTATTATTATTTTAGGAAGAAAAATTAGTACACCTTCGTTTAGTATTAGAAGTAGAAGTTAGAGAGTTGTTATCATTTTCTTCTAATAGGTTGTTGTTATTATTGATATTTTTGTTTTTTGTGTTATATGCCATTATTAGTATCAAGTTAAAAAGCCTTGTAGGTCTTTTTTTCTCCATAGAGATATTGAGTTAGTTGTTGTTATTGTTGTCATTCCTTGTTTTCCTTTTAATTTTTGGTTTTTGAATTAAATGGTAGTACTTTAAAGACTATCTTCTACAATTGTAGTTGCAGAGGTTTTAGTATGACTTCTAGAAATTTTAGTTATGTTTAGTTATAGTTGCTGTTGTTATTTTATTTCTTTCTATTTGTTTAGATTTTTGTAAATTGATATATATGAGAAAGAGTTTCTTTTTTTTTTTGATACTTAAAAATTAAATATCTATAGTAATATAAATTATTAATTATCTCAGAATTCATTAACTCTTCTTGTAGATCACTTGTACCAAAACTTCCCAAAAATATTTGTCTATAACTAAATATTTTACTAAGTAAACTACTTTTGGGCCACTAAGAAAAATTGTTCTATACAAAATTCTGCTTTAGTAGAGTCTAATTTTATATTTTTCAGACCTAAACTCGCAAAGATATTTATTTAAATATTTAATATAACAATTTTATTATTTTTTCTGAATTTTACTAAAACAACAACTCTGGGTCACTAAGAGAGTTTTGTCCAGCTCATTTCCAGCTCCATATACATATAAATTTTATAAAAAACGGATTAAAATTCATCAAATTACTAAAGAAAAACCTATTTAAGGTTTTTTCTAAAAATTTTAGAAAAATAAAATTCTTTTCTGTTTCTCTCCTCCAAACCTGAAACTAAATAACGTGACCAATCAACTAGAATTTCATTGGTTCACCCAAAAATAGTACCAATTATTAAAATTTCACTTTTAAATTCATTTTAATTAAATACAAATTAACTACTTACATATTTGTACTAATTCTAAATTAGTACAATGTAACAATAAAATCTTACTATTTTTAGCTTAGTAATGCACATCAGACTTTGTACCACACTAGCTACACTAGCCACAAGCCACACAAGACACCTTGTGAGTTACACAACTAGTGTTACATTATATAAATTAAACTATACCTCTTCATGAAGCTCTCTTTGTCTACATTCCAAATACAATATTATTAAACTATTTAAACCTCTCTATAACAGCTTTTAAAATCAATACATCACTACAACAATAATAATATTCAATATCTAAATAATATCAACTTAGCCACGCATAATATACAAGGTCTCAATAATAAGATA